AGTGGGTGGAACGAGGCTAATTATGTATCGTCAAGGACTGAACTCTGAGATCCTGACTGAAATGGCATGTAGAGACGATGACCTGACGTTAGATCAAATTATAACTCTGTCTATACACCTAGATCAGCTCATAAATAAGTGTGGTAAACGTAAAAATAAACAAAGCAACAGAATGACTACAAGAACATGGACAGCCCGTGAACCCATTGAGAGTGAAAAAGTCAATGAACCTATGTAGTGTGTCTCTTCGCGTCTGTCCAAGGAGGAGAGGCTCTGTCAGCTGACGAGAGGCCCATGTCTGTATGGTGGTGGTGCTGGTCATCTCCTCCTGAAGAGTCTCACAGTGATTGGAGCAGCCCCGTGGTGCTTGTCCCCAAGCCTGACGGGACTGTTCATTTCTGTGTGGACTACAGAAAAGTCAATGCGGTGTCTAAATTCGATGCGCAGCATTGGATGGGCATTGATGAACTGCTCGATCGGTTAGGTGCTGCTCGTTTTCACTCGACACCGGATTTGACCAAGGGCTACTGGCAGATCCCCTTGCCTCCAGTATCCTGAGAAAAAACGGCTTTCTCCACTCCGTTTGGGTTACACCAATTCATCACCCTCCCTTTCGGGTTATTTGGAGCACCAGCCATGTTTCAGCGACTCATGGATAGAATTCTCCAACCCCACTGTGCTTATGCCACTGCCTATTTAGATGACATTATCATATATAGCAATGATTGGCAGCAGCACGTGTAACATTTGAGGGCGGTTCTGAGATTGCTGAGACGGGCAGGGCTTACGGCTAACCCAAAGAAGTGTGCATCCCCAAATTGATAAGACAGCGGCAATTGCCACCTGTCCGAGACCCAAGACCAAAAAGGAGGTGAGATGGTTCCTGGGGCTGGCTGGCTATTATCCTAGGTTCATACCTAATTATTCGGATGTCACCAGCCCGCTGACTGATCTCACTGAAAAGGGAGCACCAGATCCGGTCCAGTGGATGGAGCAGTGCCAAAAGGCTGTGAATCGTGTTAAGGCAGCTCTCTGTGGGAGCCCACTGCTGCATTCGCCTGACTGACTCCCTTTTATCTTGCAGACGGACGCGTCAGACAGAGGACGGGGGGCCGTTTTGTCCCAGGTGGTGGAGGGGGGAGGGATCGCCCTGTGCTGTACATAAGTCGAAAATTAATGCCTCGGGAGACTAAGTGTGGTGTTGGCCGGACAGCTGCCCAGCCTGCGTCGGGCGGTGGGGGTATGTGGAGAAGGGGGCATGGCCGAGCGTCGAATGCGGGACGGAGAAGCTGGTCTAGCTAAACCAGCGGGCTAAGTAGCTGATTATGTTCACCTGGGCCTTGTTTCTGCCAGCCTACTTATAGTCATCTCTTCCTTCAGTAGGTGGCAGAGCCCAGAGAGAGAAGGAGACCTATGAAGGCGTGAGAGCTGAGCTGAACGGAACTGAGCTGAGCTGAACTGAACTGAACTGAGCTGAGCTGAGCTAAACCAGAAAGAAAGAAAAAAGAAAAGAAAGGCCTGAAAAGTTCCAGCGAGTGTCTTGTCTTACTTTGTGGGCTGAAAAGCCGAGTGTTTTGCATTGTGTATAAATAATAATAAAAGAAAGCTCTCCGTCTTCACACCTGCCCCCAGCATCTTTCCTCCACCCAAAGTTAGAGTTGTTACAATCACTTATGTAGAAATACTAAGGCTGATGCCCTTTTTAGAATATATCAAGAGGCCACAGTGGAAATAGATTAGTCTAAGAACAAACCCATTCTTCCTCCGCATGTGAACATAGCATCTGTATGTTGGGAGATAGATGATGAGATCGAAGGGGCATTAAAGAATAGCCAAGTACCCAGTCAGTGTCCTCCTGAAAAGCTGTATGTCCCAGTCCAGTTCCGTGATAGACTCATTACATGAGCACATTCCTCTCTCATTCATTTGTATCTTCCTGCTCTATATGTTCTCAATGCAAAACTCCCAAGACATTGCCCACTAATAAACTCATTCCTTTGCCTGTGCCCATACGACCCTGGTCCTATATAGCATTAGACTTCATCACCGATCTGCCTGAATCTCAAAGCTTTACCACAATTCTCAATAGATTTTCACATGGTGTTAGATTCATCCCCTTTCCATCACTCCCTACTGCTTTTCAGACAGCCGAGACTTTGTTTCACTGGGTTTTTCGTTATTTTGGCATCCCTGAGGACATTCTGTCTGATAGGGGTCCTCAGTTTACTTCCAAAGTATGGTTAGCCTTTTTTGATCACATAGGGGTCTCTGTCAGCTTAACATCCAGCTATCAGCCACAATCCAATGGACAGTGTGAACGAGTTAATCAGGAACTAGGACAATTTCTAAGATTTTTCTTTTCAATAACGCATCAGATTGGTCCAGGTTTCTCTTGTGGGCAGAGGTGGCCCAAAACTCACTCATCAGCTCAGGTATAGGACTCACTCATTTCCAATGTGTTCTGAGATATCAACCTTCTATAGCGCCCTGGACAGGTGTGACAACAGATGTTCCAGCAGTCTACACCTGGATGACTAGGAGCGAGAAGTTCTGGGAAGAGACGCATCAGAGCAGTGTTGGGTGTCAGCTCGAGACATTCTGGATCCTGGTCTGATTGCTGATTTTCATAGTCAGCATCCCACTAAACCTGCTCCTCGTCCCAGAGGTCAACCACAGAAAGCACTTTCCATCTCGCTCCCTGCTCGTCTTAGGGGCCGTCGTAGATGGACCCCTTCTGTCCAGTGCCAGTGGGCAGCTTTGGGTCTGCTCCTGTTCAGGCCTCCAGTTGGGGGCATGGTAGTCGTTATGGCCGGCCTCATTCCGAGGCCACCCCGGACTCTTTGGAGGGGTACTGTCACGCAGCCCTTGGGCTCAGAGGTCTCTAGGGACTCCGCTTCTCAGAATCCCCAGGGGGATCACATGATCCTCAGACCTCTATCTCGCTCCAATCACCACTCTCTGTCCTGAGTATTAACTTGTTACACCTGTTCTTGTATGATTAGCAATGAATAGCTCACTGTTCAAGTTGCTGGAGTTAGTTTGGCTGGTTGAGCTGTAGTCGAGTGCCCACTAAAGAAGGCATACACTGTGTGATTTTAGAAATCTTGTTTTATTCTTTGGTGACTCACAGCATATGCGAAAAGATCATTGTGTACAGACAAAGCTTTCGATTTCTATACTTACACTGTATGAAAAATCATGGTCTGATTGACATGTTTTTACCTTGCAGTTCTGTTCCTTCAGAGTGAAGTAGGCATACAAGGACTTTGTTACTGCAATTGTTAACTTTTTTGCCTCCATTTTGCTAGCCTACATGTCTCTAACTATATTGAGGAAGTGGTGATTGTGTTTGTATATGTTTAAAAATGACTGGAAATCAAACAGTGAATTCCTGGTGGGAATTTGATGCTAAGGCAAAATGTTTAAAGACAGTAGTGGCTTTCTTTCTGACTGCCATGGAGTCAGTAACACTTCCCTGTGTAAGCAGACTCTTGTTCACTGCCAGCTTGAGTTGTTTGTTCATTAACACGGTAACATACAGCTGGCTTATGTCACATGGTATAAGGTGGAATTGGATGTTGGTATCGGTGCATTTTTATGAGTAAAGTGAATCAGTAAGGTATTGGACTGAATACCTTATACCAGTATTGGTATCGATGCCCTAGTCTATACCAAAAGTAAATGGAGGGCATTTGATGTACTTTCTTGTGAAACTTGCTTCGCATCAAAATGCTCTTACTACTGTTATGATTAAAAGTGCCAGTGCATTATATATATATATATATATATATATATATATATATATATGTATATATATATATATATATATATATATATATATATATATATATATATATATATGATGTATGTATAGTGAAGGTTTGTTTATAAGTGTTACCTGTTGTATAGTGCTTAAAGCTGTCTTTGGAAGTGTCTATGGATACAGAAATAGGTCCGATTGTGGCTACAGCTATCTGCAGACTATGCTCATCTCCACTGGTCAAGAAATTGTAGTCACAGCAGGTAGCCATAATATACTGTGAATAAAACCACCACGTACCGTCCTGGAAAGAGACGGGAACAATCAGGAAGCTGATGGATGGCTAGTATCCTGGTTCAAAGTTTAAAATGAAAGTTTGCACGAACACCCCCACCCCAAATGTAGCCGATCAGCCAAGACATGCTTTCTCTCTTTAGTTCTTTAGTATGTTGCTAATGTAGCTAACAGGCAGGGCTGTTTCTTAATATAAGAAGTATTATAAAGTTCCAATACTGAGCAATTGTCAATCATTGAAAAAAAAACAGTGAAGTTCCCAAAACTGGAGTGCAAAAAGTGATTAAAAGCTCCAGAGAAAATGTGACTCCTAACAACCACCTGGAAGATCTGGTAGACACCAAAACTGCCCCCATCAGTTAAACAGCTCTTAAAGCTTTCATCTTTGAGAGAGAGGAGAAAGTCAAACTGCTTCAGATCTAAAAAACATCCACAAGTGTTTCTGTCCATGCTTCCACTGTGAGAAGACAACTCAGCGCTGTGGGTCTGAAAGGGATGTGTAGCTGTCAAGAAGACCTCACTGAGAAAAGGAGACAGACACATCAAACAAAGAAGCTGAACAATGGACTGACCACCACTCAGTTTTACTTCAGAAAATGATCAACCAACTTCTAAGACTGAACTTCCTTCTCAGTCTTTCACAGAGAGCTGACCTGCAAAGTTCAGATTCAACTGGAATCACTAAAACTCCTTCTATACACAATTCAAACTGTTACAAGGAATGTGACTAACTATAAAATATTTTTCCGTCACAATAGCAATTGTGCACAGCTACAGTGACATGAAAAAACAGCACTAGTAATTAGATTTTCAGTGGCCATTAAAATGTAATGCACACTACATCTGCATTACATTTTCTTCAGCGTCTGAAACAGGAAGCTGGAGCTGAACTCAACAGTGTAGATCTGTGTGGATGAGGACTGACAACTTTAATGAAGTTATACCTTTAAACCACAGAGTAGTAAGCATATGAGGCAATACCACACTGGTTCCTCTTGTTTCTGGACATCTTGATGTAGCCTTTATCACCCCACCCAGTACCCCAGCTGCAAAACAAATTACTGTCAGTGTTGGGTATTTATTTTTGCCTTCTTATTAAAGCACAATACTCTTCCAGACTATGCTGCACATTTATTTATGCTTCATACACACAGTGTAAACACCCCAGTTAACTATCCAGCTGCAAAGTAAATGTTGGATACTCATCTTTGTCTCCTGACTAAATTATTTTCTCTTTCTGCAGGGGTCGCAACCCAAATGTTGAGAAGAGCCATTTAGTCCTTTCAACAAAAATCAAACTACCTTGGGAGCCACAACTTGTTATGTCCATTTTACCATCTTGGCTGTAAATATGTCTCAGATTGTGTTAAGGTACTAGTATAGACTAAACAAATAACATTAATATAAACAAAAATGCAGACATACTTTGCTCTGCTTTAATATTTAGCTCAGCTATAGCTGCTTTCTCGTACCTCCGGCAGGAAACTGTTCCACAAAAGTTGTCTCTTGTAAAATGTCTCTCAACGTTCGACTTTTTGCGAGGCTGAAGTCGTTTCTCATATGCCAACTTCTTGTTCGAATTTTACATCTTAGATGAGGCAGCAGTTACATTCTGCTGTTTCAGGCACCATTTAAGATGTAAGAAGAAAATTTGAACAAGAAGCTGGCGAATGAGAAGCTGATTTCAGCTTCATGACTATATGATGTTTGACAGTTTCTTGTGGTAGATTAAATGTATCAGGAAACCAGCGGGAGTGATTATAAACACAAATGGGCCTATTTCACCAGGAGTTGTGATTACTTCCTGCTACTTTAAGCGTTAACAGGGTAAAACTAACTTCCGTTCCATATAACTACTGCAGAGGTGATGACTAAATGTTATAGTAATGTACTATAATGCTCACACACTGGGCTACAACAGACATGTCTTAGTTTTCGTGCAAATAGTGAGAATAGAAAGTGGATGGAAGCGCTGACTTAACTTTAAAGAGAGCTAATATGCTGTATGTGTGGTGTAGCCGTGCAGCTGCCTCACATCAAATAGTCTCTCTGTCTTTGTACAGCAGCCATTTCTGCATTATTTCTGATTTCAAAAGAAAGAAGAACTTTTATATGTAGCATGAATTTGGCAGACATTGTTTAGATGTATGCTAGAAGCCATTGCTAACTGTAGCTGTATTCCCAAACAAGGATCTAGTTTTCATTAGCTGCTGGCACCAGCTGGCTAACGTGTGACATATTTACAGCATGCCAGTGATTTCTGATTTATATGTAGAGTCTATTTGACAGACCTCATTTAAACTCTCTTTTAGCTTATGGTAGGCTAGCTAATTAACGCCTGTAGCCTGCTAGCCTAGCCTAAGCTAGAAGAGAGTCTAAATGAGGTCATTAGCAGGAACACCAGCTTCATATGAGTAGCAAAGTTTAAAGCTAGCTGGCTAGCTATGTTAGCGATCTGCCAAACAGCATCATTCTTTTAGTTTCATTGCAATTTCTGAAGCAATACTTCAGATAGCATCCACCTTTCAGTGCTCAATCAAAAATGTCACCCCCATCTAACTTGTATCTTAGCATTGAGGTAATGCTGTGACATTCTGATTTCCATTTTCTGACATAGCTAGCTAGTTGTTTGTAATCTGGGAAGAGCCATCTATGTAAGGTCTCTGATGTGTCAGCGAACATTAGCTGTTTGAATCAAGCTGATTATGTAAGAATTATTTCGTTGACTGTTTATTGCCTGCATTAGTTTTTTAACGTAGAAAATTCACTGGTGATGCAGAAAGCTGCTTGATGTTAGCTGGGTAATCCAGTTTGGGATAGCTGTTGTTAGCAATGACTTCTGGCCAGCATAGCTAGCTTAATATATACAGAGTCTATCAAATTCATACTACATATAAAAGTTCTTCTTTCTTTTTTAAACAGAAATATTACAGAACTCACACACTGTACAAAGACACAGAGACTGCAGTAAAAACAAGGCTATCACACACAAACAGCATTTAGCTCTGTTTACAGTTAAATCAGTGCTCCTATCCACTACTTTATCTCGCTGTTTGTCATGATAGTGCAGGAAATCTAAAATATCGCTGTTGTAGCTCAGTGTTTGAGCATTATTGTACAATACTATAACATTTTGCCATCACTTATGCAGTAGTTATATGGAGCAGAATTGAGTTTTACCCTGCTAACGCTTAAATAGGAAAAAATCATGACTCATTGTAAAAAGCGTTCATAAGTCCATTTGAATTATCAACATTCATCTTAAATCTCTCTCTTTGCCTTTTCGTTAGCTACTAGCTAGACAAGATTGTTGTCTGTATTGTGTCTAGCATTTAAGACTATTTATTGTTAAAACTGTGTTTGAACAATCACCAGAGCTTTATTTTACTGCAAAGGATGATTATTTTATTTTTACCTAAAAATCTAATTCTACTGTGGATCCACAACAGGGCAGTAAAAGAGCCACATGCGGCTCCTGAGCCGAATGTTGCCGACCCCTTCCCTACTGTGTCCCTGACAGTAATGTGATCAGGAATTGTCTTTGTGAAGTTTACCTGTTCTTGACCAGCCAGTAGTCCTTTCCACATCTGTCAGTGCCGTAACCAACAACCAGGACAGCATGAGTCACCTTAGTGCTGCTGCAGGCTGGCTCATCATACACACCTGCAAATTGAGGTTAGAGGCACCCAAAGGAGAAACATTTTATCATTCAAAAATAAACTGGCTTGATATTCAGATCAGACATACATCATTTGAGTGACAAAAATGGATTCTGGAAACCATGTTAATATTAATTTAGGCAAATACATTAGGCATCTGGATGGTAAAGGAGCAGATTTTCATGTCTAATAAGAAGGAGGTCTTAGCAGCAAAAGCTTCAGATGACCTAATGCTAAATAATCAATGAGCAATGTACATTGGGTACTGAGAAGGACTCACCGTCTTTAATGTGAGGTTTGTCAGCAAACTTTAACAAATCAATATAAAGAACGGCATGTGTATGAGTGCATTGATATTTATCTTGATACATAATGCTTTTAATCCCAAATGTGAGCGCTCTACAGTCCTCTTTAATCTGGTAACTGTCAGCCACTAAGCTAAGAAAAGTTAACTAATTAGTTAACAGATCTTAATATTCAGTGTAAGTCTGCCTGTTAGTAGTTTTCACAACAAGCTGTGAGTTTGATCTTCCAAAACATTTTCACTTTCAGGAATTAAAATAAATGAAATTAAATTAAAACAGCTCCAGATGATCAGGATAGTGTGAGTCAGGCATTGTACGCTCCTCTCTGACACCTTTCCACCATTTCTTACACTAAGCATTCCGATTTCTTGCCACCGCCGTTCTCACAGCACATTTATTCTGAAGTGTTCTTCCTTTTTTTGACAGAGGAAGAAATGTTTAGAGACATTTGTGATTGAGAAAATCACTATGTTGCAAGTGGTCAATTTCTTCAAATATGCCTCGACAAAGACAGAATATGGTCAAGAGTCTATGCAGGACTGTTTTTCTGAGGATTACCTGACTTGTAGAACTGGAAGCTGTGTCGGGAGACATCTATAGCTACAGAAATAGGTCCAATTGTGGCCACAGCGTTCCTCAGAGCGCGTTCTGTGTGCTGCCCCTTTCTATAGCCGGAGCACTTAGCCCAAGCTCTCCAATTTTTAAACTTGCACCGCCCTTCCTGAGGAGAGATGGAAACAATCAGGATGGATTGCTAACTCTCTGGTTCAAAGTTCAAAAAGATACTTTCAAAAAATCAAATTTCCAAAATTTTCCCTTCACCCCAAATGTAGATGAACTGTGCCAAAATAAAAAATTTCACTGGAGCTGAAAGGCTAACAACTAAGACTCCACCAATTAGCACTGCGCAGACTGCATGCCTCACAAAGCTGATTGCTAAACTGTTATAAAAATGGGCAAAAATGTATGGACATAATTTATGTGGTTAGCACCATGCTAATGGGCATACAGTTGGCTTTCATACCTTCGTAACTCCATTATATTTGTAGCTCTAATGCAAAACTAAAGAAGCAAATTTCAGACAATTACGATATCTTAGCTGATCAACTACATTTGGTATACGGACAAATTTATTTATTTTTAATTAAACTTTTGGCATTATTAACCACTGAAGCCTCACCTTGGCCTGATATGGATAAGTGTACGCTGTCTCCAGGCCTCCACTGGACTTGATGTACTTGAAGGCCCAGTGCGGCCAACCACCTTGACGGCCACGGTTTCAATAACTCCCGGAGCAGTCCACCAGCTGTTGTTCACTTAAGCGCACCAGCTTCTTTGTCTTGACCCTCTAGTGCCCCCGTCTGAGAGAGAAAGATGACATAAACAAACACCACAGTCTGAGTCTGCTGAGCCACTCTTGGCTGACTATTTTGAACACCTCGCTATTTCAATTCTGTAGGAATCAATGACCAAATCTTTCTATAAGACCCAATCTGAATATCAATAAGCAGTGTAAGAGACTAATATCTGAATTTCATGTTCTAGCTTTTCCTGCAGAATAAAAAATATATCAGATTGACTTTTGGTTCTTAAAGATGGGTCTAATTAAAAACTGAAGGGATATCCCAGTACAACAATGTGGCATGTGCCCGCCCTCCGGGCCCCGACAATGACGGGCATGAGAGCCGGCAGGAAGGCGGGGCCCGGAACACCCAGCGGCGACATACCTCGGCGAAGAGGGCAGGGAGAGTGTGGAGGGGGTGGAGCGCAAAGCCCGAGCTCCGCCGAGGGGAGGAGGAGGACGATGGTGCCGGCCATAAGAGGCACAAACGAGTCCCGAGGTCCGCTGCCCGAGCCCCGCCCCCTGATACACAGTGAGGCCGCTTTACTACACATCACGTTCGACCCAGGCGGCCGAGCTGCAAGTTGGGGGCAGTGACGGGGAGGCAGAGCAGTGAGCTCTCGTTCCATCTCGGCTCAGGTGCCCTTAATGAGAGCCAGCTGATGCTGATCTGGCTGGCAGCGTGACCGCCCTTTAAAAGAGCTGAGAGGGAACAGAGCAAGAGAGAGAGGGACAAGCAGCAGCAGAGAACTGAGGAGCTGAAAAGCTTGAGTAAAAAGACTGAAAATTCTAGTTCGTTGAAAGCCACTGAAAAGTGGCCAGCTTAGCAGAGCTTTGATTATTTGGTTTTGTTTGCTTTGTGTTTATTTGGGAAATAAAAAATGGCTGCTGCAACACTGAACCCTGCCTCCAGCGTCCTCCTTGAGCCCGGGTAGCACATGTCGTGCTACAAATAACCAGCTCAAAAGGTAGGTTTACTTGCACTGTCACACTTTTTTGGCCTTACCACTCACTGCTACTTCAATTAATCTCTCCATCCAGTTTCTCCCTCTACCTGTCCTTCTGTAACTCACCGCACTGAAGACCCAGTAGGAGCCACAGTGACTTTGGTCCTTAACTCTGGTCACATAGCCCCAAGCCCTCCAGTCCACATTCCTGGGCCGAGCAGCACCCTCTTCCTGTTGAAGGAATGTAGTTTCACTCTCAATCTCTGACTCATTGAACGATCCCAGGCAGCCCTTAAACATCTGCTGGTACTCCTGATTGTCCTGTTGGAGAAGAAGATGGTGAGAGGATTGTGACAATCCAGATGTCAAGAATGTTTACTGAACAGCACATAATAAACAGAGCTGAAGAAAAGATTCAGTGAACTGTGTATGTAAGATCTCACCATATCTGCAAAGCGGTTCATGCCGAGTCTGTAGCTATTGAGGCCCTGGTCAGCCAGGATATTCTGCTCCAGGACCAACTTACGATTGTCCAGCCAGATGATCTTGCGCTGAGACTCTTCTTCAACTGAACCATAACTCTCACCTAAGAGGAAACATTTTTTTATGCTGAGGAGGAAATGGGCCTGAACACATCACGAAAAAGTGTAAGCTGCGAGTAAAAAAGTAAAAGTTTCAGGTTCTTCAGATTGATGGAGAACATGCTGTAGATGGTTCTATATAGAACCTTTTTGAAAAAGGTTCGATATGGCAGCAAAAAGGATTCTTCTATAGTTACTATGTCAAGCCTGCAATGATAGAAGAACCCTTTTGATGCTATATAGAACCTTTTTCAAAAAAGGTTCTATAGAACCATATACAACACATTCTCCATCAATTTCAAGAACCATTTCATCATGCAAAGAACCCTTTAATCATGCAAAGGGTTCGTTGATTGTTCATGGTTCTGTATAGAACCATTTTCTTTACTAAAGAACCCTCAAAGAACCATCATTTTCAAGAATGTATTTCATGGGGAATCCGCATTTAGTGTGTGCAAGTCTTTTGAATGCACCTCAAGTTGAGCCTACAGCCCGTTCAGCCAATAGACCACTGAAGTCATGTCATCATTTTGTGGTTGGTGCTATGCTCTTAAACCCATATAGGGAAATCTGGATCTAAAAAGATTTTATCTATGATGACCTTTTTAGGGCGGCATGGTGGCGCAGTGGGTAGCGCTGTTGCCTCACAGCAAGAATGGCCTGGGTTCGATTCCGAGTCGGGTGACCAGGGTCATTTCTGTGTGGAGTTGGCCTGTTCTCCCCGTGTCTGCGTGGGTTTCCTCTGGGTACTCCGGTTTCCTCCCACAGTCCAAAAACATGCAGTCAGGCCAATTGGACATGGTAAATTGCCCCTAGGTGTGAGTGTGTGAGTGAATGTGTATGTCTGTCTGTCTGCCCTGCGATAGACTGGCGACCTGTCCAGGGTGTATCCTGCCTTCCGCCCAATGACAGCTGGGATAGGCTCCAGCACCCCACCGCGACCCAGAAGGATAAGCGGTTTAGATGATGTATGTATGTATGAACTTTTCAAAAACTGCCTCTGTCACATCCTTTTGTAATCAAAAATGTTCCAAAGCTGATCATTTTTTTTTTTCTCAGCTATCACTGGATCCTCTCAATTATGAGGTCTTTAAAGCGTCAAAGAGACTGGGTTACCTGATAGAGCTACAGAATATGGACAAAAGTATTGGGACACCTACACATCACACCTACAGGAGCTTTTATGAATCCCACTCTAAGTCCACTGGCATTAATATGGAGTTGGCACAACTTTGCAGCTATAACAGCTTCCACTCTTCCGGGAAGCTTTCTACAAGATTTTGGAATGTGTCTGTGGGAATGTTTAACCGTTCATCCAGAAGAGCATTTGTGAGGTCAGACACTGATGCTGGACGAGAGGGTCTGGCTCACAGTCTCCACTCTAGTTCATCCCAAAGGTGTTTGATGGGGTTGAGGTCAGGGCTCTGTGAGGGCCAGTCAAGTTTTCCCACACTAAACTCACCCAGCCATGCATTTATGGAGCTTGCTTTGTGCACTGGGGCTCAGTCATGCTGGAACAGAAAAGGGCCTTCCCCAAACTGTTCCCACTACACACATGCAATTCTGGCTGAGCTGTTGTTGCTCATAGGTGCTTCCCATTTCATAATAATAGTACTTACAGTTGACAGGGGCAGATCTAGCAGGGCAGAAATGTCACTAACTTGTGGCAGAGGTGGCATCCTATGACAGTGCCATGTTTAAAGTCACTGAGCTCTTCAGTGTGACCCATTCTACTACTAGTGTTTGTCTATGGAGACTGCAAGGCTATGTGCTTAATTTGATCCACCTGTTAGCAATGGGTGTGGCTGAAACAACTGAACTCAATAAATAGGAGGGGTGTACCAATGCTTTGTCCATATAGTGCACATTTGCTACTATCATCACATACTTTGGTGACTTTCAGGGTTTTAACCTCTTTTGATACTCTTCTGGTAATCATTGAAAAAGCAACCAGTGATACGACCACTTTAGCTTGCATGTAGTAATGTTAGCATCATGACTTTTTACCAACCTCATAATTCAGAGGATCCAGTGATATATGGGAGGAATATTTACACAAGACAAAATGCATGTGGTTCTGAACATTTTTATGTACTATGTGGCGCGATAGAGGTGATTTCTGGAAAAACCCCTTTCATTTTTGCCATAGAAAAATTTAACTTAGACCCAGTGTCCAAATATGGGCCTAATGCCAACTACAAAATGATACAAAACTTCAGTGGTCTATGGAAAGGCATGCTACAGCAGGCCACGCCCACCCAGTCTCCATGGTATCACATGCTAAATAAACTCCACCATCTGTCAGAAAAGTTTGCTTTCCTCAAACCCTGACAGCGTTCATTTGAATTTCTAGATATTTCTGGTGTTTTGTGTTGATTAAAAAATTTTGGCTTCTGAGCTCAGATTATAATGTCCATGGTAAATAAGCACTACATATAACATATCAGCTCATCTACGTTAAAAGTAGCTGGACACTGGAAGTTTTTGACAAATACAGCAGCTTAAATCCAACCTGAGCTCAATGCTGTAAGTGTAATAATATAGCTGATATTTGGCCGAGCCCTGCAGAGCTCTAACAGCGTTTATCAGGGCACACAATGATACAAACAGAATGTTTTGTTTTAGCTTCACCTTTTTTGCTTAAAATATAGGTTTTTGTTTGGTTTTATGAAAGAAGAGTTTCAGTGAAAGACTGTTTAGAATATATAAAAACTACAAATAAAATGTTGAGAGAAAATGTGCAGAGGAATTTAGTAAGGACCTTAGTGGGAAAACATCTGTTTTTGATACATTTTCTCATTTTCTGTTACAATTAGTGTTTATTGTCTGTGACAATTAGTGTTTTTACTCTTCTTTTCTTTTGCTTTTTTATGATGTTGTTTATGAGACATGCTGAGCACAAAAATCCTAAAACCTCCTCTGAAATGAACTGCATGTCTTTCAAGCCCATGTGGTCCAGATCACATCATGAAAGAAACAGTTTAGTCCTATCAGTGGTTGTTTTGACCAGCGTTTGATATTTTGCTGGCTCTTTGTAACTTATTTTCCGCCTTGCTGAAAGGATTGTTTGGATTCCTGCATGTTGTTTCAGTACATTCTTAAAAAAGATGGTCCTTCAAGGGTTCTTTAGTGAAGAAAAATGGTTTTATATAGAACCATGAACACCCAAAGAAGCCTGATTATGATTAAAGAGTTCTCTGCATGGTGAAAGTGTTCTTCAGATTAATGGAGAATGTGCAGTAGACAGTGCTATATAGAACCCTTTTGAAAATGGTTCTTTATAGCATTAAAATGTGTTCTTCTTTGTTACAAGCTTGACATCATCACAATAGCAGAACCCTTCCTGGCATTATATAGAACCATATACAACACATTCTACATCAATCTGAAGAACGATTTCACCATGTAGAGAACCCTTTAATCATGGAAAGGGTTTTTGGGTGTTTGTGGTTCTATACAAACAAAGCAAACAAATAAACACCAAACAAATAAACACTTACTGCTCAAATAAATAGACTTTAAAATCCAATTCCTTCAGATATTTTCGGCTATTCTAAATGATATATGTGATTTTAGTCTAATACTTCTGTCCAATGGAGAGTTGTTAATGGAGGTGGAGATTTTGTTATACAGAAGCAGATTTCATGTAAATTTCTCACCAAACTTCTGTTTCCAGGCGTTGAACTCCAGATCCTCCACAGAGACACTGGCTGCACCGGCCACACCCACAAGAGCAGTGACAGCAAGCAAAACCCTCATTCTGCACAGAGTAAGAGTGAACAGAATAATTACCTACACTGTAAATAATTTCAGCCTAAGGGAAATCTTTCTTGATGATGTTTCTTATAAAGGTAGTAGCAGAAAGAATTCACAAGCCTACAGAAACATTCTCTCTGCCAATTTACAGAGGGAATGTAATCTAATTTTAATTGGGAAGAACTTCATTATGCAGCAAGACAGTTAGCCAACACATACTGCAAACACAACAAAGTACTTCAACAGAGGAAAAAACAGAAGGTTTTAGATGACCAGATATTGACCCAGCTGAGTATGCATTTCACTGGCTTGAGGCAATTACTGCAAGCAAGGGATATGCCACCA